TCATTAAGAATTGACATTGAAATACTCATTCAGAAACATGCAAAGATTAAGATTAAAAGAATAGCAATATATGGGAGAGAGGGGAGAAAGAGGAATTAATAATCCATCTCGTGTGTGATCTTCGCGACGGGAAAAATATATACACACGGTGCGATGAGTCTTGGAAGCAAGTAAATGGTCGCCGGCGCCGCAAACGTCTATGGCGCTACTTCGAACGACGGGAATTGGCATTTTCCTCCGTAGTTTTCGATAGAGCCAATATTTACCCACAGTCTTAATGTCAGCGCCACTCGCTGCCAAAACCAACATTCGGATCGGTTTGGCTGTAAGCGGCTTTTCGCACCCTACGTCGAAGATCCGAGGATCGAACCGGCACGACGCGGCGCGCGGCGCGGACGGAATACGTGGACACGGATGCGCATAACTTTATATCACTCTGTGCCAATGAGGTTGTGCACCTTAGAAGATTACGTAAATTATATATTCATAATTAGCATGGTACACGTGAAAACACAGCGTAAAGATATTTTGCACCAAACAAATAAGATTCCGTGGCGCCTCCTCCATTTACGGGATTAGCCGCAGCTTCGAGTAGCCGCGGAATTCGATGGACATTACTTCCGCGTATTATTATTTGGGATCGTTAGAACAGAGCGAAATACACCATATATATATATATATATATATATATCTATATATCTATATATATATCTATATATATATATATATATATCTAATTTCATGTAATTTAGTTTATACGAATCCGATATTAAAGTCATATATTCGACTCGTTGCATATGCACGCCACATTTCTCGCGTTATCAATTTTAAGCAAAAAAATTCCTTGTCTACTCGAATAGTAAATGTCGACAAATGTTCAGCATTTCACGTTTTTCGTCATTTTGCTATCTGCTCTTCTATACTCTTTTCAAATTGATGAAAAACAATATCGATTGTCAGTATCTTCGTTTTTAAGTGCAATTTTTGCAAATCAGGTGTCTACATTTTCTAATCAGAAATAATAATCGAAAATCGTTTCGGCCAATATATATACCTAATATATTATGCCAATGAAAATGGGAATTTATGCGGAAAAGAGCACGTTATTGTTATCGTTATAAGAACTGTTATCGATATTTCGGTACTTGGAAAAGTAAAAAAATCGTCTCGAGGATTAAAATCATCTCGTATCAATCGATTACACCCGACGATTACCAATCATATATTCTCGCGTCACGCAGAAAAATCAATAATCGGTAAGAAACGATCAGTCGCCGTTCTCACTGTTGCCGCGCGGCGCTCTCACGCGACGAGATACCAAGGGCTTTGCGCGTTTGTGAATTATTCAACGGATGCAAAAGGCGAGGGAAATGTTTTGATTATACCGTGCCACGAATGTACGCACACGAATACATATCTCGTACCTTAATACGCGTGACGCACGTGTGTCTCGCGCGTGTATTAAACGTGTGCTGCATATGTACGTAAAACCGAATCCGGACCAAGCAAGCGAACGTGAACAAACACGTATGAACAATTTGCTTCAATGTGCGTTCAAAAGGCGTCGCTAGTACCAGCCTTCACAGTTTCCCTCACCGTCATTGAAGCAAGTTATTCATTTGATCACGCTCATTTGTGCAAATTACAATTAATCAGTGGGTCCAACTTGACACGCGTCAATTAAAAAATACAATATACATAATAGTCATCATACGAGTGTGATAGTCTAGAATCACCTGAAATCTAAGCTCAGCAAGTTTAAGAAATGTAATGCTAATTATGTTGGAAATAATATTATAATATTCAGAAGTATAATAAAGATTGATTTCAGTTTACATTTTTTTGTTGTTGCGGAATACCGTACTTTTATAAAGTACAAAATAATTCCGTAATAGAAATAATTAACACACGTGACACATATGTAAACATAATTTTTTTTCATAAGGCTCCTTTTTTCTGTTTCAAAGCTTCATTGAATTGGCTCTATGTGAATACATTACGCGCATACAAACACGCGTGTATCTACACGAACGCATTAGAATTTTACGCTTTTACATTCTCGTATCGCGGTGAATATTCCAAAACGATCACTGGCGCTGATTACAAATCTACGATGCTTCGATTGAAATTGAGAAAGTGATGCATGCAGGAATATGACATGATGATTGCCATGCGGGAAATGCGAAGAAACTGTTATCTAAATAATGGCATCGAAAAGTGTGATCGAAAAATCGTTTTAGGAAAATGTCAGTTATACTCTCGCAATTCCAATTAATTTAAAAATTGATAAGTTTTCAAAACATCACTGAATATTAAAAAATCCAACTCCACACAGACACAAATTAAAAGGTGGAGATAAGAAGGTGGAAATTTTTTCATGTATTACACACATTTATAAACAATTAAGTATTAACTTTACTATATCGCACGTTTAATCATAAAATATTTATTGATAATGAGAAAAATATCTAGATGAAATCAGCATGAATTATATAATATATAGAATCACATCATACTATTGACATTTCTCTAAATGAATTTTTTCTCTTTATTATCTTTGCAATTACTGCCGTAATTTTTATTCCTACTACTACGATTTCTACTACTCATTGTCAGTTAATTCGATGTTCAGCAAAAAGTTGGTTTTAAAATTTTAAAGCATTTACCACTTGAATCATTACTTTCGAGTTTGGTGTGATAAGTTTGCAATACGTATACAAAATAATATTGTCACGTAAAGTAAAAGAGATGACGAGCGAGAGAGAGAGAGAGAGAGAGAGAGAGAGAGAGAGATATCTAACAGAGACTGAAACAATTTTTTCGCACATTGCATGTGTTATTTGTTATTAAAAAATAAAGTGAAAAGCGAATATACATGATTCGAAATCATGTTTATGTATCGTATTTTATATGAATCTGTAAAATAAAGTCTCGAATTTACGTTAGTTATAAAGGTTTTATATTTAAAATAAACCTTATAAATTATGCAAAATTAATATTATGAAATCGAATCGACTCGACTCTTATACACTTGATATAAATTCTTAGTATCGCTTCATCCTAAACGTCTATCGAAAAGAAACTTCGCATTGATAATTTAGGGCAATTCTCTCTTAACTACTGTTGTAATGTAGGGGTATGTATGTACTAAAAATAGTTGTTATTCGATGAAAAAGATACCGAGGTTAAAAGAGCTAATACAATAAAGACTAGGATGGCTGATTGCTCTCTTGCAAAAAAAAGCATGAGCCAAATACAAAGTATCGAGTTTTGATGATAAAAAAAAAAGAGACATGAGAATATTTGCGCGTATCGGCATACGCCGAAATGTGACTTTAAAACGTCGAAGAGTATAAACTACAGATATGTATACATTGGCATGCATTCGAATATCAATTTCTTAACGCCTCGTTATTTCTGCCAGATTTTCTCGTCCCTACATAAAACGTATGGAGAAACGCTAGCGATTAAAGTTACAGATAAGAGTTCATAAAGATAAACAACTGGAAAATGTTAACCTGTATCAGATTAATTTACAAATAAATCAAAGTCAAATGTAAAAGATATTATTAGAAAATAGATGAATAAAAAATATTTTTGAGGGAGAGAGAGAGAGAGAGAGAGAGAGAGAGAGAGATAATATTCTATCACGATATACATACATATACATAAACGTATCTAATTTTTAATTTTAATCACATCAGCTATTTTAAATTACATCAGCTATTAACTATGATATATTGACGGATATATTAACCCTTATTTCTAATAAAAATAACAATTTTAACTATATACTCGTATATGTACATTACAAGAGTAGCACATAATTTTTTAATCAGTGGTTTAAATGCAATGAGATCGGCGCCGAGGGAGGATGTAGTAACTGTTAGGGATAACAGCATGCGAGACTGCAACCACCTGCCGTCATTCGTGCCACGAGGGTGGAGGAGAGCGACGAGGGATGAAGCGAAGAGGAGGAGAAAAGAACGGAGAATGTAGAACGTGGTGGAGAAAGAGCGAGAGAAGAAAACGATAGACAAGAAGATGATAAGGTGAGAGAGAGAGAAAAGAGAGAGAATGCGTGGGAGCGCGGAGGAGGATAAGGGGGAGGGAGTAAAGCAACGAAGGTAAAAAGCGGCGCGACGACGCGATATCGATTCGGTAACAGATCCGCGCGCGTATACAGTCACGATGCTCATTGCTCGCGATGCTCACCTTCGCTTCTCGCGTAACGCGAGAGAGGAAGGCATTGGAGAGAAACGGGCGCCCCGACGCTTTATATATAGAGGCTGAGCCACACGAGCAGACGGCCCGTGGCGCTTAAATATAGATGAAATGCAACGGGGTGTCTCCCGCTGGAGGATGCGACAGAGAAAGAAAAGAAAGACCTGGCGCGCGCGACGAGCGAGAGCTCGCGAGGAGACGAGGAAGGATGAAGAACTGAAAAAGGAAATGAGAGAACACGGCAAATGTTCAGACAGAGGGGATGAGGGAGAAAAGCACGAACAAGAGACCCCGCATTTACAAGGAACAATTATGGCCGACCGCGCAACGCGTCGTCTGCTATACGGACGTAATTCACAAGGCATGTCGATCGCTCCGAGAATCGCGCGAGCAACACATCGCACATATCCGCACTTGCTCGCGCGGAAACGCGTTGGGAGTTGGGACGCGTGATTAATTGTTCAACGTCGAAAAGGCTGCTCCGATTGCAGACGCCGCGCCGCGCCGCGCCGCGTCGCGCCGGCACGAACGCCCGCGGAACTCCCCCCTCCCACCGCTCTCCTCTAACTCGTCTTTCTCTCGCTGTCCTCTCGTTGCGAATATTATCAATATGGAGACAGGAAAATAACTAATCAGGCGACAAAAGCGCGACCGAACGAAGCGTGCGAATGCAAGCACGCGCGAATGAGAGAGACTGAGAAAACGGAGCAAGCGTATCTCACACGTTTACTTCACTCGTACGGCATGCGAATAAGATGTAAAATTGTGGTACTCACTTGCCGAGTTCCTCCTTCAGGTCGTAATTGTCACTGAACCGCGTGCAAGCCGTTGGCAAAGACATACCGAGGCTGCTCGCGATTAATTTAACCGCACTATCAGACTCGGAAACACGAACGCGAAAGAGCCACTACCGGCCGTCACTATACTGCACACACGCGCTAGGGGAAACTTCGCAGGTCAAATTCGATCAATAGAGGGGAACCGCCGCGGCGCTGCTCGAACACCGGGACGACGACGGCGACGGCGACGATGACGATGGCGACGACGACGACGACAACGACAACGACGACGACAACAACGACGACGACGATGACGACGACGACGACGACGACGACGACGACGCCGGCGACGACGGCAGCAGCGGTGGCGGCGGCAGTAACGGCGAACGACGAACGACAATGATAGCGGCGGCGGCGGCGACGACGACGACACTTACAAGCGAGGAGGTGGAGGGGCGACGATAGCGAGACGGATGGAAACGGGAAAACTGAACAGTGGGAGCGGCGGACCACAGCAACGATAACGCGCACGGTATGCGCCGTATGCGGAAAGGAATCTCACGGATCCGCGCCGCGCTGCCAACCGATCGCTGCTTCACCTCTGCGGAAGATTCTACCGCGAGTCGCGACGCGTCCGCGCTACTCGCCCGCAGATCGTTGACTGACTCGCGTAGTCAGCATAGCAGCGACAACCAGCGCGCCGGCGCAATGGTGGGGCCAGGCGGCCAACATGGCGGACCTGCGCACAGCCGCGGCGCGAGCGTAGGGCGGTGCGCTCACAATCAGACGATTTCGCGCTTGTTGTCTCATCTAATTGCCAGATTTGCCCTCGTTCGCAAGAATCGCAAAGGCCAGTGCGGATCGTGGATGCACCAGGATGCACGCTGCGCGATTCAATCCGAGTGATACGCCGCGCTGACAAGGTTCGTATATTAGTTTTTTATTGCGCGACTTGCAGACCTGTGCCGTACGTGCGAAGCAACACGCGATTCGAAGGAAAAATTCGGCCTAAATTAAAAGTTGACGTTGTTGACTCCAGGTCGTGTAACTCGTGTGTAGCACTCTTTATATTCTCGATATATCGTCATTTCTCTCTAACACACCTGGTGCATCTTCAGCTAGAATTTAAAACATACAAATTCTAACGAGCGAGAACATATAATAATTTCCGTTATAAAATAATCTGTCCTTTCACAACATTCGATATTAATTATTACAATCGTTACTTCAATGCTCAAATGCATAATTTTATATATATATATATATATATATATATATGTAATTGTGCGCATATATGTATATGTAATTATTTGATCTGCTTTTGCAGAGAGAACTGCAGGTTTCGCATGCAGGATTATATTTCTATTTTACTTTATTTGAAATCATTTTTGTGCACGGTGTTATTGTTTTTAAAAGTTTTTATCTATTTAAAGAGACAAATTCTGTTTGAAATCATTAATAATGTTGTTAACCTTTATTACGACAAATATCGTTTAGATATTACTTATAATCTTAATATAACGAAAATATAACACAAATTATCTTTTTTTCACAAATTACAAGTCCGTGTGTTTAAACCGCAAGTCTCAATGAATTTCATCGAATCTCACGGATTTCTGTACGAATCAACTTTTTAAATGAAACGCCGTGCTAGGGTTATAAAGTCATGCGTTAACATTGTTCATTCAAATGTAATCCATTCTCCGCTTAACAGACTTATAGCGTCGCTCGATATACCCGCATGCGCTCGGCGCGGCGCATGTCGGGCGTAAACACGAGATTTACTACTGGCGCGTTCGCCTTAAGCGACCGTGTCCGAGTTTGGCTTCATTTTGCCATTACCTTGGCACACGTCCAAAACGGCACGAAAGGGAGGGACGCACACGTCTCTGGCAAAATCTCAAAATTTACGAGACAATCTACGCCTGAGACACTTCCTGCGTTACGATCTCCATACATTTTTTCTAATTTTGAATTTCTATCAATATATTTAAAGAGGAATCGAACGATGATAGTTTTATGGATTAAACTCACTAAAGATAATTTTTTTACGCTTTTGTTTCTTCTAATTTTCATTGTACTCTGTTTCGTATTGTTATAATTGATATTTTGGACAACGCTTGTCCAAACTCAAATAAGACCCAGATAAAACGTACTTGTAATTTTATAAAATGGAACTAATAGCCCAAGGAAAAATAGAATTTGCAATATTTTCTTTTTATTGTCTCTGTTTCTCCTTCTCTTTCTTTCCAGAGAATATTTTATATAATTTTTAATTATACTGATGTTAGAGATACGTCGTATCTATGACATTAGAAAAAATGTTCGTTTTAAATATGCAGTACCTACATTATTTTGAATTAAGATAAGGTCACACAAAGAGAGAATGCAATCAACTGATTTAAAGAAATGCTGCAGAGAAAAAATTTATTGTATAAATATTGTATGAATATAAATCAAATCGTAATTATATATTTTTTGAATAAGTTTACAAAGTGTTATAACATAAATTTATCAAAAAAATACATGTTCTAAAAATCTGCTATTGTATATTTGCGTATGTATGATACAATCGCGTATGATTGCCGTCCAAATATCAAATAACATATAACAATCCCCGTATCGTCTTGAATGTTTAGGTTATTATGTAAAGATGAAAAAGTTATCCCGTACGAAAAAAATGTCGTTTGGACATATATTTGGGTATTTATAGTGCATACATATACACATATTTATGCACGATTCTTATGTCGCATGTATTATCCATCATAATCGCTATCAAAAATTTCTATCGTGATCTTAATTTTCTAATTCGATCGACGAAGAAATCACGCTGTATTTCATCAAATCAAAAGCATTTTGATTAATCGGTAATTATATTTAAAAACTAGACTGTATGTTACGTGAGTTAAAATAAGAATATTAAATGCACTAAAATCATATATATATTGGAGATTTTGTCTTATATGTTACTCTTCGTAAAAAAGAAACGTTTGCACTAATCAATATAATTGTGCAATATGATACTTGTTACGAAAGCATGCACGGGCAAATCTTTTTGTTAGATCAATTAGCCATTAATTAAAAAAAAACAACGTACGAGCACCGGTGATTACTTTTTTTTTTACTAAAATTCTCTTTGTTCGAATTTGATAAAATGAATTATCAGGCGTTATCACATATATTTAAATTACGAATAAACAATAGTTAAACAGAGATAAACGAATTTAATAAGATTTAAAAGATAGAAACGTACTCTCTTCTGACACTGTTTGTTTTAATCTCAATTCTTATTTGCGCGATATTATTAATTGCCTGGTTAATAATAATTTATTTTCTATCTCTGATTCTTGTTCTCGTATAGCTTGAAAAAATTTTGTAACAACCACGTTAGCGAACTTGTGGTCCTTAAAAAAAAAAAAATCATAAGACAATCCGTTCAATCTTTACTCAACCGTAACTGATTTCGCCAAATTTCTCGGACAATCGACGTTGCAACCACGCAAAACTGCGATATGGAAAGATAATAACTGCATTGGAATAACAGTTAAAATTCCTTGCAGGCAATCGACGGTTTTAGGTACCTCGAGAGCCCTGTCGGCAAAAGCCTTCGTTTCTTCATCCTCTTCCTCGCAGATAACAATGGGCTTGCCGTCCCGTGCGGTAACTTGCTGAAGTGCATTCATACATTTCTACAAAATAAATTATCAAACTGAAACATGTGTCATGTTTCTATATTTTTCTTAAAGTTCCGTACAATACTCTTACAATTGCTATAAATATTCTTGAGAGAGAAAGATAGAGATAGAGTGTAGCTCTCTCTCTCTCTCGCTCTCGCTCTCTCGAATATTAAACTTACTCATTTAAACTTACCACGTACACTGGATCTCTCATTACGATCATAATTACCGGCATGGAATCGTCAACGAGGGCTAACGGACCATGTTTCAATTCACCGGCCATAATTCCTTCGCTATGCATATATGTCAATTCTTTTACTTTCTGCAAGTATATGTAAGAGTTGATTACAGCAACATTAATTGCAAAGAGGTTTATTACTTTTTTATCGCCTACTTACGAGTGCACCTTCCATGCACGTAGCAAAATTATATCCGCGACCCATAATCAACAGGGATTTGTGTTGGAATAAAGACTTGGCTAACTCTTTAACTTTCTCATCGAGTTTCAATACTTCACGAATAAGATTTCCGAGATTTTTCAATCCTTCGATAATCTAGAAAATATGCGTATATAAGATTTAATTAATTATATTTTACTAAAAATATAAAAATACGTATAAGTTTAAGTATAAAGAAAAAAAAAGTAAAAAATATTGAATAACGTACTTGTAAACGTCTCGCGCGAAGAGAGATTCTGTCCTCACTCATTACTAGTGCAAACATGACGAGAGAGATGAATTGCGAGGTGTAAGCTTTAGTACTTGCTACACCGATCTCGGGACCAGCATTGATATGCACCCCACAATGAGATTCACGACAGATACTACTTCCGACTGTGTTAGTTATACCAACAATAAGAGCTCCACGACTTTTACAATAACGTAGTGCCATTAACGTATCAGCCGTCTCACCTATTGCCATTACAAGAAATACAATAATACTCAATCGCAACCCAGTAATTTTTCAGTCGTATTAAAGAGGTATTATTTGTCAAATTCTTATAAATCTCTTTTCTCATCTGCTTATTTATCACATTTCCATTTTATTATATGTAATTCTGCATTAATAGTTTCGTCGCAAGTCTTACCCGATTGAGAAATAAAGAAGCAGACGTCGTCTCTAAAGACTGGCGTGTTGCGGTCCAAAAAATCGGATGCGAGCTCAACCATCACAGGCAATTCTGTCAGTTCCTCGAGAAGCTGTCGCGTAGCTATGGCAGAATGGTAGCTCGTACCGCAACCGATTAGCATAAGACGTCTGCATCTTTTGATCTCTGGAATGTAATCCTGAAAGAAAGGTATTCTATTCATTATTAGACTCTTTTTTTTAAACACTTGCGAAAAATCGTTTGCAAGAGTTACTTTAATTCCGCCTAAAGTGACTGAGTTATCTTGAAAATTCAAACGACCCCTCATAGTGTTCACCACCGATTCCGGTTGTTCAAAAATCTCCTTCTGCATGAAGTAGTCGTAATTGCCCTTCATGATTTGTTGAATCTCCATCTTCAGTGTCGTGATCTCGCGAGCGTGAGGATCGTCCATGCAACGACGAAGACGATGAATACTCAGCGCGCCTTCTTTAACAGCCGCCACGTCGTCATCCTATAACGTCGGTATAACGCATATAAGATAACTTTTTGCCTAAAATTTGACAAAAATTTGACAAATTTATCAAATCGCGAACCTCTAAGAATATCACGCGATTCGTATGCTCGATTATGGCACTCGCATCGGAAGCGAAGAAATATTCAACCTCTTTATCCTCGAGAGGTTGAAACTCAGATGTGCTCTCGCTACGCGGCATGACCGGAAGTTCTGGATTTCTGCCATGCGGACGATGATCTGCACAAAGATTGAGTTGTTCTATTTTACGAATATATTTCCCATTGAAAAGTCCGTTGTAATAAATGAAATATTCTTTTTATTGCAATGCTTGATTTTGAATGTATTTGAATGTAAGAGAATTTTGCACAACAATATAAGATTCTGCTGCACGAAACTCTCCATTTTATTGAAGAATTTTTCGGGATCGTAAAAGTAAAAAACAAATTATAATAGATTATTAATAGAGTCCGATAAAAACTGTCTACAAAACTAAAGATATTATCAGGATACTATGATATTTTTATATATAAGTATTATACACACACATACAACATTTATTATTACATATATATTATTACGAATAATACAGAATACTTGTTCATTTTGCACCAATGTTAGTGATAAAAAATTAAAGTTGATAAAATATTTAAAATATTTAATTAGATATAAATGATTAATTATAATTATTAATTCTCTCAATCATTGTTATAGTTGCGCTAAATTTATATTACAGCTTCTTTTTTTTCATTGTAGCTACATTGAATTATGATGCCAGAAACGATGTAAATTTTCTTTTTTGCATCCTATCGGAATAAATTAGTTTTTACGCATGCCACTACGCACGATTGACAGTACAGACAATATAGACAGATACAGTTAAGATATACCAAAAACTCTTTTCCTGATTCATAAATTAACAGTAAAGTTATCAGAGTTCATGAATTACTGCTAAGTCAACTGTTATAAAATCTATTTTAGCTACAAGTGTGGAATGCATATAAATTGAATTACATGGCATATGTATGTGCATTTACTGATACAAGGTAACACAAAAAGAGTTTTTGATTTAAATAATCGAATTTATTTCGATATGGAGCAAGAAAAGATTTCCTGTTATTTATCGTTTTCGATATCATAAGTCGATATGGCTATGCAATACGAGTAAAATAAGAGTATTAAGTTATTTACTCGTTTTTTTTAAGCCCCACACCAGATTGGCGCAATATGTAATCATATATATAATACATATAATAAGTACATATGATGAATAAAAACAGCGAAATTAGTGACCATCGTAATATATATAATTGAGATATTCGCACGTATCTCGCGCGCAATCTTGATATTATAATATGTATTAACCAATATATATACCCAAATATATGTTAATGCATAGCTCGCTGCGAGACAATGAATATAAATGATACCACCACGACGACAAAATGAATAGAAATAATGCCATGATATGATCGATAACGATAACAATAATCAAGACACAACATCAGCAGCACAATTATTTATATAAGGACGAAGTGTACGTACTTAAGAAACGTAAAAATAAAACGATGAAATAGGTATAACTAGTATAGCGATTCGTTGTAGCAAGTGAAAATTAAATATATATCCCGAGAGTATGTTATATATAATATTTCTCTACATTAATCGAACTTTGGGTAGGCCAAATATTATATAGAGACGGAAAGCGGTAGTAATTTGTAAATTATACATGATAAGGTCATAGTATACGTACGAGAAGCGTAGTGCAGTACCGTCCATCCATCCATCGTCTATATTCGTAAAAGCCGGAAAAAAAACGGCGAAGCGCTTGTAATTAAAAAGAACTAATTACGTTTATTTACAACGAGCAAATCACAATCAATTCACCGAGACAGTTAATTGGGCATAGAGAACAAGCGGAGAGAAGCTTAAATTTGACGTAAAGTATTACCTTGAGACGGTGCTTCACCTTCTGCACAGATTGGGACGCGGGAAGGAAGAAAACGAGAAAGAAAACAAAAACAATTAGCGCACAAATAATGCCACAACAGTAACAGCATAATGATCGATATATATAACGCCAAACATAAACACAATGAAACGAACGAATGCTGTGTGCGGCACAAAGAGCGAGCATCAAGCACGCAGCGAGCATTAATTTTAAAAATAATATATTAAGCTTTTGATAAAAAGTGTTATTCTTTACTCTCACTTCTTTTAATATTTAGACAGATATATATTGTGACATTCAGATTATAAAACAAAAAAAATTATTTTATATTTTATCTAAACGCTATTAAGAGATTACTTTAGAAATACAAAAATGTGTTTCATATTAATGTTAAATTGTATTTTATTATATATGTATAAGGCAATCTCTCAACTTTCTTTCTTTATGTTATACATTTTTTGCAAACTTTCCCGAGAAGCATGTTATTGTGACAACACATATGCACCGTACTGTAAAAGCCGCAAGTTCTTGTAAATGTAAAATGTACATACGTTACCGTTTTATCGTTTTTCATTGTTTCGAAGACTAACGCTTCTATCAGAGATTTATCCGATAATTAATCCCTTAAATTAGAAGTTTACGTGTAACAATTAATGGGATTCATCGCATTCTGTTACAGTGAATCATAATGCTTTTAATTAATTAATCTTCAACGTACTACACACTGTAACTATTAAAATTTATTTATTTCTGTCTTATTAATTTTAAAAAGATACATACCAGATATCTTATTTTTAACATCAAAACTTGCGCTCCTACAAAGCCGCTTGAAAAAAAAACATAAGTATCTATGTACTTATAAATACGGTCGTGGATTTTCGTAAGAAACAAAATTATAAAAGTCTCGTCTCATAAGCAGGTCTGTGCTACAAAATGCTCCGAGACTTGAAACGAGAATAGAAATATGCCAATTAGCGAGCGAATGAGTGAGCGTGTGTTACTTTGTTAAAGTGAAAGAACGAACATTGAATAACAGCCTGTGATGATGATTAAGAGAACTGAAGACGAGACCTCGGACGCGATCGTCGAGATCGACAGCAAAATTGTTAGAAAAATTTTCATGAAAGACAATCCTATGTGAGAGAATTGCAAAAAATATCTAGATATTCCTCAACCACTGGACTTTGCGATGAGGATGAAATAAGACATACTCGACAATGTTAATTGTTTGTAATGATAATCGAATAGATCAGTACAAAGGGATAAGTACACATCAACAAGAAACATTTCGATTTACCGCATATAAATATCGTGTGTCCTTTTTACTTTTTATACTCTCGTTACACAGGGAGAGGTCCAGTGCCGAGGACGGAAATCTAGACAAGTTTAGTATAATAGATTATATACCTTTGTTTATTGCGCATTGAAGATCGTCTGACGGCGTGAAAAGTTGTAGAACATAACCGGAAGGTGTTCATGCAAAAGAAACACTTATATAATAATCCACATTAAACTTAGTATGAAGAAGAGAGCTTACGTGCGATGCAACTTGCCAAAGTCTAGAAAAACAGGCGACGAGTTTAATTTAACAATCATGCACCTGCTCGAACTTTCTAACAATTACAAGGTATTGATGGGCAAAATTGATGAAAAACAAAAAAAAGCAAAAGAAATATTGTAAGCAAAAAAATAAATATCAATTAATTTCTATTTATAATTGCATATCTATTACTATATTTAATTATTTAATAAGATAAAAACTATCTTATGAGATAATAGTCTTGCAAGATGAATTGATTCTAATGAAATCACTTTATAATGTAATCGCAAACGTATTCAACGATATTTTTTGATAAACGTTATGTCAATGAATGTCGCGCAAAAAATTAACTAGATACAATATATTCGATCAGTTGCCTTATGCGATATAATATCAAAGTACAAAATGTATGTATGCATAAATGATAACAACGTAAATAATGAAGCCAGATATAGTTTAGTCACACGAGCATGTTTATTTCCATATTGAAATAATTTGTAGTTTGGATTAATGAAAAAAGCGCATGCTTATTGTTAGTTAGTTGTCAGTTATATAAGTATTAATCGCCTTTCTCTTGAACGTGGAATTGTGTCGATATCATACAATCGATATATTGTAAGTAGATCGGGTAAATAAGAGAGATTCTATGGAACAATACAATGTAAACGCCTTCATGCGTTCGTCAATTAACTAACGTGATAAGGGAGAAACGCACTTTTTAATGTTCTTTGTCTCTCGAGATATTAAAAAATTTATATTAATAAATAATAATTAATAAATACTAAACGCGATGTTGGATCAATAGTTACGAATTTCAATTTAACGCTTCCTGACATCAGTCAGAGGAATACCCCCTTAATTTCTCGCGTGGCATGGATCGAAATTGGATCAATTTGCGATATTTCGACTTACCTTTTCCATAAAGAATAGGTACATGATCAGTAGCCAATCTCGTTTTCGTCTTGATACCCACGAGAAGCGGTGATCCTCGCCTCGTAGCTACGCACTCGCCCGGGAAATACTTGCTTTTGAAACATAACGCGAAGGCTCCTTCCTAAAATAATACAATTTTTATTATCTTACCTTAAATTTATTATTCTGAATATTTTTGTGAAAAATTATGAGAGATGAGAGAAGGGGGAATCTTTTATATATCTCGTCCTTCCTCGGTAATTCTTACCAATTGCTGAACAACCTGCTCGACAAGTTCACGGAACGAATACGCAGGATGCTGTACCCAGAGATGGTGGATCAATTTGGCGATAATTTCGGTGTCGGTATCGCTTTCAAACACGTATCCTCTCTGTTGCAGCAGAGTTTTGACTTCCTTGTAATTCGTCACGATACCTACATTCAAGACGATGTGAATTCATATGTGAAGAATGGAAAAATAGGTTTCGGAGCAGGACGTATACATATATACATGTATGTATTATATGAACATTACCGTTATGAACAACAACGAAGGCGTGCTCACTGTCAGAACGCTGAGGATGGGCATTTACCTCCGATGGAACACCATGGGTCGCCCATCGTGTGTGAGCGATGCCGACGTGGTATTGAGTTTCCGACTCAAAGTCAAGATTGGTACCTGCGAATAAACATCGCTGATTTTACGACACGGCCCGATGGCCCGATACGACGAATGACGGAACATTCCTCGTGTATTTTCTTTTTGCGCACGACGACAGAAACGATCGCACGACGCACAAGAAGCGCGCGCGCCAAGTGGTCCCGCAAGTTTGAAAACTTGAGCTGATACTTACGACAAAATATCTCCTCCTCGAGAGCCTTGACCTTTCCTTGCTTCTTAATAATCGAGATGTCCTTGCCATCTGCACTGTCGAGGGCGACGCCTGCAAAAAAAAAAACACCGTATGAAGGAATTTCTATATAAACCGATACGCCGCGATGGGTCATCTCTTTCATTTATTCACCGGAGAGCTCTCTTCCTTTCTCTTTTTCGAATCATCAAATCGTGAATAAAAAAGAGAACTGAGAATGAAAAAAATCGAGAGAATGAAAAGAATGGAAAGAACTAAAATGATTCAATTGAATATGTGAAATTTAAATTAAATGGTAAAGAATTAGATCTTTTTTTTGCACGACTTTCAACAATTTATACGATATGAATTATTATTTTATTTTATTTCTTTTTAAATATTTCACATTTATTCTAACAATAAGCAAAACATAGTCTAAGTAAATAATTTTTTCGTTGATGCTTTATTTTTTCTCCGTTCTTTGTTTATCACAAAATAATGTTTTCGTAAACATACGGCCACGGCATCTTTTGCGAAAGCGAAAGATATTTCGAGATTAAAAATATTGACTTACCTGCAGAATCATATCCGCGATATTCTAATCTCTTTAGACCAACAACCAACAATTCCAAGATTTCTTTCCTGCTCTTCGGTGTCAAGTAGTTTAGATAAGCGAAAATTCCTGGAGATTTAAAGATACATAATTATTACTCGGATCGATTACGAATGAAATACACAATTGTATTCAATTATCATTGATATTACTCTGATAATACTTTGAGAAATGTTAAAATCCACCTTCCATTAATGCTCTGATCTGAATCATCCATTATTAATCAATAATCTTTATAAAATACAAAATGTCTAACGTATTGGACAACTATGAAATTTATACAATTAGCATAAGTAAATATAATTACTGATATCTATATGACAAAAATTTTTCTTAAAATCTAATTAAAATTTTCCTAAAATTTGATTTTTCTTCTTCAATTAAACTTCAATTATCACTATGCCTGTCTTTCCCTTTCTCCCCATCTTTTTTCTAGTACACACTGTATTATTGTATCGCATAACGTATAATTTTTCCGTATCCTTGCACAGCTCAATTACTCCGACAAGCAATTAATATACATGCATCTACTTGACACATTTAACTTTGATCTATTGATTAATCACACTTATATTTTTATTATATCAGCTTGTATATTTCTTTTTATTTTTTATTTTTTCCTCAATCTTTCACAAATGCGACTTTCGGAACCGAGTGGCAATAAGAAATAAAATTAAGAAATGGCTCGCCGTTTATTCTTGTAAAACCCACTTTAGAATATAGAAAATAATTTCCCTATTTCTTCAAGCAGCATTCGTTCAGCCAAAAAAAAGAAAGAAAACATTAGGCCATCTTTTAATTTCATTGATCTCTGCGCCGCCTCTCGATCCCGAAGGACGTATTCGCGAGAGAATGCGGAAAGATGAAAAATTCGAATTTATCCAAGAAAGCAAAAAGATTGTGGAGAAATATCTTTCATTTATTCTTTTTTTTATTAACATACTAACCTGCAGAGCAAGATCAGACACGCAGAAACACAAGCCATATAGCTTATACTTAAGAAGTGGTAAATGACAAATGTAGGAATCCCAGTTTGCTTTCGTTCTCTAATTTAAAAAGGTAATTTTATTAATTTTTTATATTAAAAGAAATTTTCAAAAATTTTACTCTTGTTATATTAATATATTAATTTTACAATTGGAATAATACATGTAATAGATATTTTAAAAAATCTTTTTGCAAAGTTTGATATTATATTATAATTATACATGCAAATACAATTTAGTTAAAATGTGAATTTTAATTTTAATTAAAATATAATTTAGATGAAAGAAAAGTATCACTAAGTTGAGCGTAAGAAAAAAAAATGAAAAAAAAAAAAACAATAAGTGAATGCCACTGTCGAGCATTTCATCGACGATGCCGAATAATGGGACGTTACAAAAATGCAAAAAGCTGATGCCCATGAACGTTTGCGAGGAACAGGGAAGGCCGGAGGCCCGATTGGCCTAATGACGAGAGAGAACAGGTAATTCAAGACACCGACTCACGCCGGTGAAAGGGAAAGTTTACGTGAGGTTAAACCTGAGAGATTCAGACAACACATCGCGGTTAATATCGCGTCATTATATACATCGTCGAATTCCGAATAAAAATAGAAATCTGATTTAGCCTAAATCAAAAGTTCTTGTATACGAACAATTGTAGTAATAATAACAATAGAATATATCTAGCGAAATTAACATAATTTTATTTTACAAATCAGGATCACCTGATTGAAAATGAGATTTTTAAAGTTAACGGCCAATAATTTAGTATTTATGACAACAGAACGTATATTACGTTTTACAATTAAACTGCACAATATAATTGGAATACATTGATTTAAGTGATTTTAGTTTCAATGTGTTCTTTCTAAAAAAACTAGTTTGCCACTGTTTCAATCTACGCCGCGCAGATAGATATCTGATATATGTATAGCATTATTGATGTATGCATATAGCTATAACAATGCATAGCTTTCCGATGCTAATCAGCTGTAATTACATACGTTTCGAGTGGAATCAAGCACAATAGAATATATTGAATAAATGTATATTTTGTCTCGTTGTATACAATTTTAGCTAAACATAACATTTATCATAAAAAAACTGACAATTTCACATATAAAGGATATAAATCTTTTTCAACTTCTTCAAAATAGAATTACTGATTTATGATTGAGAATACGAACAAAATGCGCGCGTGATATCCGAGCACAGATTTTTACACAAGAAAGATCTAATATTCATTTTGAACGCACCCAATTGTCCTACTTTTACTTGAGTTGATTTCACTCCGAAAGTTTCCTGAGTATTTTTGTAACTTCCTCTTTCCGCCTAGGCGCGAATTTACTGAATGCGATAGTGACAGCAGTCCTGACAATTTCTTTGTTACTTTATTACATCTGTTTATTTATTAAAGAGACATATTCAGCCAGGAACGATTGTCTCGGAAATAATTATGAATTCGATAGAAAAAGTCTGTTTTGTCAGTAATGATAAATGAGAAAAGATGAGAGAAGTTCTCTAACTGTATCGATTGATTATACAGTTCATTTTAGATTTCCGAGACTGCACGATCAGTTTTAGCAAAACTTGAAGAGGTATTTTAACTGTATTGAACGATAAGAGAGTTTTTCCGCGATGACTAATATCCGGAGCAATAGAAAGAATCGCAAGAATTTATTAACAATTTCCTTTCGACGTTCGCGGAAATTAGTTGTAAAAGCGATTCGATGTCGCAGATGATAAATAACCTAGCGATAAAGAAGCTCTTAAAGCTCTTATCGGAGCAACACGGCAGTAATTCAAAATTGTCGGATATGCCATTTTCCTGAAAGCTGAAAGACACGAGACTATATTTAAGAGACTTTTATCATTTTGCTCTACCGTGAGAAAAAAGCAATGTCATGATTATGCTTGAAGATTAACTATGTATGTATGTACGTACATTGCTTATAGATATTCAATTTCATGACAAGGAATTACATCCTTGGACAGTATTCTTTTCAAGACAGTATTCTTTCTTTCTGCATTTAATTACATTAGACGAATTCGTATCATTGTCAATAACTCGCATTTTTTACGCGCAATTATAATCACAATTTGCTATCGTATCTTGGATGGAAAGCAATATCAATCATATTTTCTTCATACAAAATCCAATCGTTTTAGTTGTAATATTTTTTTAAGCACCATAAAAAATATTGTACATTATTCTATTTTATTTTAAACAGACTGATAATCGAGATGTAACTTGAGCAAAAAATTCATATGATGCAAAGATTTAAGCTTGTTTCGATATCTTATTTCGTATTACATGGCACAATAAAAATTAGGCATGAGAATTGATACATATAAAATTTTCAAGTAATCTTTCGAGATATTCATTGGTAATAAAATCATTCATTTAACACGAGAAACGTCGACAATTTGTTGCGACGCAAAGTTGTGAAATGCAACCAACGTGCATGAACGAGACCGCGGTTGAACGACCAGATAATCGATGGTTAGCAATCGCGATAGCATCATATTCTAACATGAAGAACTTGGCCTTCCGACCTACTGACCACAATATTCTGCGTATGAGCCTCACTTTGCCAATCACATGGCAAACTCGATTGACGAGCAAATAACACGCGCATTGCTTCTTTACATTTTTCTTCTTATAGACATCTCTATTGAAGCACAGTATAGGAAATATCCTTTGCTTCTTTAATTATCTTCAGATATCCACAAGCAATTCGACAAAGTTTGCGTTTATATGATATAATATAATTAATATATTTGCACGTATAAATTTTGTATAATTATTTTATATAAAATATAAAAGTCGCGTTGCTCTATACGAGCTTTAAAAGCTTCTTTATTACCTTTTATATAATTATTATATAAAAGCATATTTACATAATATAATATTACATATAATCTAAATGTTGTAGTACTTTCAGATACGTTCCGCTCGAATGCCTCACACATAATTGAATTTATTCATAGCAATCGAATGAAACGAAGTGGCGGGGACGATCGAAGAGAAAGGAGTCGCGTATCCGAAGGTGGGATATCTCTGTCGCGTCTAAATGTCATATGTAACTGTCCTGTGCTATGTTGCTACACCCTCTCGCCTCAGGTTCGCTCAGGTTCGCGCACCATGAAAAAGAGACTTTCACTCGCGACTGACTCGAACGTCGTCGGTATTGCTTCGTATCAGATCCGAAATTACGTATCACCAACAAGTCGTCGTTATACACCATGGCATTGTTGTAACGCAACAACATGCATTTTAATTATAATGTCTAGCTCGTATTTTAATAACAGAAATATAAAATAAGCTCGGCCAAGAACGAGCGAAGGTAAAAGTAACATGGAATCACTAAAAAACTCAAATTAATAAGTAAATAGTTTAATGTCGAGAAGTTAAAATCAATACGTTTCGACTCACTGAGTCTTCTTCAGTTGAAGATATAAAAAAGTCAATAAGTAAAATGCAGATAAAGAATAAATACGTAAAAATCGGACAAAATAAATTAATATTGAGACGTTAAAGTTAACTATTCAATTGAATTTATCACCCTACCATTTTATGGGACGATTAATTCAAGGCTTTGTAATCAGACGTCAAAATTTATAAAATAATTCGGATAATCTTTGGAAAGCTATAATTCTTTTGCCGAGATATTTCCTTAATCTAAAAATTGATAGTAACAGGTTTAACAAGCATAAGTTTGTTCAATTGCCACAGATGCTTTTGTCAACTTCGTCTCAACGGAAAAGCATGTAATCCAATATGACTATTGCGCGAATGGAGATTTAACGCTGTACCGAAACACAGTCTTTTGTGTAGGTCGACGCCCGAGGAAGTCATGTCTCGTACATTCCACAGGAAAAATGAATGGCATGTTGTAACATTCCTGCGAGCGTATATGAACGCATCACTGTGACGCATAACATCCCTGACGTCCTCGATGATCTTCGATCAATCATTATTTGTCATTCAAATTAATTATTACTAGAGGAATTTTATAATCATGTCAGCTATTCGATAAACTTCAATTAAAATTAGTGAATTACTATTATGCCGCGGTAAGATTAATATCCGTCGAGCGATTTTGTCCAGACATCGAATTTAAAAAGAAAAAAAGATTTTTATCTATAAACGTAACACGATAAAAAATGTGATTCGCGAGAATTGCGCGAATTCTTTCATAATTTTATAATAAATTTTCAAGCCGCCGTAAAAAATGTTACAAAATTTTAAATGATCGCGTCGAAATTTCGAATAAAAATAACATAAGCCGTCGTAAAGGTTCGTGAAATTGTTCCGAAACAAAAACTGTCGCAAAAATTTGCGTATTATTGCATCCATTAAAATTGTTTAATTTCATGAGCGATGTTATCGAAATTATTTATGAATTAAGGTATTTCTCCATAAATTATCGATATATCACATTTTGTTTTTATCAACCATAAAAATAATGAATTACTATAGCAAAAATTTTTTGTTTTATTATAGTATATGCATACCGAAAAAGATTACAACAAAATTTTTATATTGAAAGTAAACTTTTTTAAGTGTACAACTCTATACGCTGAAGTACATACATACGACTTGCTATTTCCATATCAACTGTCATTTTGCCTAAAATTAGAACACATATCGCTCTTTACAAGCCCTGCAATGACAATGGCGTTAATAACACGCGTGTGTACATATTTTCCCAATTTTTGGTATCAAATGTTCTCATTATTATAGGATTTTCTCTTATCGTTTTAGGAGATGGTAATACATTTCGGATTATAGAGCATAAAAAATGATGAATTGACCGATTGGAGATTAGCTATATCACAAATTCTAAGTATATTCATTTATCATTGATATCGATAAACCAATGACCGATCAAACCCTAGTATAGAAACAATAAATAAAATATATATTCCATAAATAATACATATATAAAATGAATATATTTAAATAATCTTTGTTATTCTAATAATAAAACATAAATAATTAGAAAGGACTACATACCTAAATATATGCGCTATACAGAGAGAATTTCCTTTTAAAATTTACTCTGAAAATCATGTTAATCGTGTCGGGACAACATAGTATTTTGACAAATTTTACTAAGCATTACAATAAATTAGTATGTATTTAAAAAAATAATGAAAATCACATAAAATTCGTCGAAATACTATGTTATCCTACGATTAGCATGATTTTCAGGGTAAATTTTAAAATAAAATTCTCTCCGTGTAGAGATAGAATAGTATAATATTCACATTAAAATGTACCCGTCAAAATGTATCCACTTACGGTTTGTAAGTGAATAGCAAAATTAAAAGTAACTTACATTAACAATAAGATTTATAACATCGGAGTAATAATGTATTAAAATCAATAGCATTTCACAAGGAAGCAAAAAGATAAAACGTATCATTAATAACTATTTAAATCGTCTCTGTACAGTTTTTAAATTTATTCTTGATAAAATAAATAAGGAAATCTTTCTTTTCATATATAGCTTCGATCGTTTCTTAGTATCTCGTTATGTCAATTCGATTATTGCATACCGGCATACCAACATGTAGAAAGCAAAGAGTTTCGATACGTTCCACGCAGCTGGGCGTAATCTCGCCGTTCAATTTCACATGTTTTCCGAGTTTCCGAGTACGGCAGTCGAATTGTATGCGATAACGATTTGACACTTGCACGCGCGTGACCTGACGAAAATCCACGAGTGCGTAACGTTATGTGCGCGTATTAAATAATTAAATGAATCAAATTTGACAACGCGGAGAAGAAGGAGAGAGAAAGCGAGACGGCAACGGCAACGACAACGACAACGATGCTTAAAATTCGCTGTGTACTTACCGCACATGTTATCAAGGTTGTTCGACCGCCACGTATGTAGAGACACGTATGTAAAGCAGAAGGCAAATGAAAAGACAGAGACGGAGAGGCAGACGGTGAAAAATTGATAGAGAAGTAGATGCGGAACGTTACTCTCGCTAGTAGATATATTCGCGATATACGTGCGATACGCGTTGCTCCGAAACACAGTCTGAGCCCTTCGACAGCGTGCTCACAGTTCTTATGACGTACGAACGGCTGTCTCGCGAGCGCGCGCGTGCGGATGTGTGCACGTGTGAAAGCAGCAACGAGCTGTCAGCGGTAGCGGTCGCGCCGCGCGCACAGACGCACGTGTGTATGTATACGTTGACGTTGCTCCAAGCTCCAATTTATGCAAGCCGTCGCGTCGGCGCGGTGTTTTCACCGGCACGACCAAGCCGACCGAGCCGCGGTGCTTATCGATCTTGCCAATCGGTTTACCGATCACGAGTACCATGCGTCATCATAAGACTATCATGAATACACGTGGACTTGTCTTTCTGTCACTCGATCAGTCCAGATATCAGCCACGTACGCGTAGGTGCGGTCGAACACGCGTACTCAAGCAGCTCGCGACAGTCGCGAGTCGAGATTAGAGACCCTCTCTTCGGTTAAGTCCGCTGAAATTCGGTCATTACCGTGTCGCATATATTGTCGTCAGAGAGAAGCATAAGAGCGGCCATCCTGGCCTTTTACGTGGGACCATCAGAACCCTCGCTATTACATCCATTTTTTAAATGGGTACTACGTAGCTACATCTATTTTCAGACATTGTCGATAAAATCATAACGCAAAATGGATGTAATAAATTCTCTCTCTCTCTCTCTGCATTGTCCTTGTGGAACATTTCTTGGGCAATCAGGCGATTCCGATAAAGCACGATTTTTCTTAAAAAAATATTTCTTCTTTGGCGTGTATCGTAAAAAATATATGAGAAAACATAACAGAACGCATGTATTCCTCCTGCGAGTTTTCGACGACAGGAAGTTGGTTTTATAAATACAAAGTATTTTAATAATCATACGATTAAAATTTGGATTTGGAGAAATTTTTAATTTGCTTAATTTGCAAGAAATAATTATAGTACGCACGCATATGCGCCTCCTGCGAGTCTTCAAAGAAAGGTCATTGCTTTTTTAAAAATTTTTAGTTTGCTTAATTTACAAGAAAAAATAATAAAACGCACGCATGTATAATATGCCTCCTGCGAGTTTTCGGCGGTAAGAAGTTGCTTTTATAAATACAAAGTATTTTAATAATCATATACGATTAAAATTTGGAGTAAAAATTACGCTTATACGTTCGACTTGTACTGATCTCACTTTCACGAATACTAAAACAATTATTTGTTTTAATCAAATATTTCAAAGAAAAACTTAATTGATTTCTATAAAACAAGTAAGATAGAAATTATCCATTACTAATAATATCACAAACTTTCACTGAACCAATTTTGCGAAACGCACGCAAGAACATTTACAAGTTAATTGCACTGTCAAACAAATTTTTTAATTATTTGTCTTCAGATTTCATCAAAGAAAATGATACTCTCTTTAGGCGCATTCGGGGAGCACGCTCTATCTTTATCATTCTTTAGACGTAAAACAAGGATAGAATGACGCGATAGCACTGACATCGTGTTCCCCGAACATGCCTTTAATCGTGAAGCTGTCTTTTTTAATGCAGTAGTATTTTGAGCATAATGAGTCTTCTCGCGAAAACGATTTTTATTCGAACATTAATATAAAAGATTATATTAATATAATCATTAATATAAACATTAATGTAAAAGAATACAAAAGAATCTTAGTCAGGGGTTTTATATTAGTAAGAGCTAAACCCTTCGACTACAAAGCCTCGAGACATTTGGTTGCAGCCAATCTGACTTGTGTGATCTGCGAGAACGCGGGTGAGTAAACATTGAACACGCAATTGTTTCCTTGTAGAACGATATTATTGGACGCAGATTTGGCGGTGAGTTCGGCGGAATTTGCCTTGTTCTGCAAATTTTTCACAGCAACGTTGGCTGTCCCTAATTTGACAGCGACGCATCTTTGCACTTGGAAAATGTCATTACTGATGCAGTTCGGGAAGATGCTGTCCAATTCTGCTACCAGCGTGCGTCCGGTCTGTGAGAAAAGTAATGTAAGTAAATTTTTTTTTTAGTTTAGGCTCAGCGAAGAGTCAAGTAATATATATGATAATAATAATTGTGAGAATTTACTGAGCTGAGATCGTCAATAAAACCAAGTTCGCTCTTGATGGAGCTTTCAGCAATGTCGACGCATCGTTGAGCATCATTTGACGCTATATTCCAAATATTTCTCAAAGTGCTAGAAGCGGTATCGTAGCATAGCTGCGCATTCTTACCCTCTGCCTTCGCCGCTTCCACTTCATTCTGACAAATAAATTAACCAATAATGTAATGAATAATTTAAAAGTTAAGACAGTAGCGCATCATATATTTATATTGTTTGATAAAACGTTGCATTCTGCAGTTATATTAAATGCGGTATATAGTTTACTATATACGATATTGCATGTCGTTTAACTGCACGTTGGAAACTGGGATGAAAATTAATTAAGACGAATTCGAAAAAGCTGTATCTGAGAACTTCTCTCTCGAGAACTCGTTTGACGCATTTGTTAAATGGCATACTAAATTAGTACATTTCGATTAGTGCAGATCAATTAACTTACGCGTATCGCATCAAGTGTCGGATTGCTATAATCGTTGTGTCTTCGCATTTGTTCTATCCAGTTATTTTTGACTTTGAAAATTGTGTCCTGTGCGACGTTTTTGCGGAGACGCTCAAGTTGTTGTATATTATTCTGAACTTGATTTTTCGATCTTTGCACGCCAGCTCTCAGTATGTCTAAAGGATTAGCATTGACCTAAAAAAAACGTTTCTTTAATTAATTTGATTCTTTTTAACAATTGCATATATTCTTGTAATCTTTGTCAACTCTTCGATTTTTATAATTAAATTTTGTTAATGAGAATATTATAGAACTTTATATTATAAAACGTTACGTCTAAAAATAATTTTAAACGTTGATAAAAAGATCATGGAATTTATAATTTAATGATTGATTGAAACTTGAAACTGAATAAACATTCTTTGAAAAAATTTAAAAGTATTTATCACAGATTATTTTTAAAATAACTTACAGTATAGAAGGCAATTAAAAGGCACAATGCTATAACAGTCTTCATGTTCGTTTGTGAATATCACTCGGAAATTGCTCGAATTGACGCTAAAAGCCCGCTAACTGACAAGCAAGTTAATTGCACTCTCTTATATATGTATGTACATATGCAGTACATATACATACTGTGGTGATGATAACCCACAGTGTCATCAGCATGTATTAACTTGAATAAAAGAGGGGAATCCAACCAAGTAGAAAATTTACGACATCTGTACCCGTATACATGTAATCTCATGTGTGAATTCCCCACAGTAGTGTGTAATCCCGGTAATCCCGAAACAAATAGAACATGTTTAATTGTGATAAAGTGTATCAACAAAAAATGAAAAGATTTTTCGAATAAGATCACGATTAAAAAATAAAGCTAAAATTTAAATGTCGACAAAAGCTAAAATGCGATTATTATTAGTGCCTAAATAGATATACAAATTAATAACGATTGTCTTAATTACAATTGTAGAGATAATGAATACAAAAATAGTTTTTATGTATAATTGTTATCAAAATAATCGATAGCGATATAAAAGCTGTTACATCTATTACTACATTTAACTTTTATTGAATCTTTATCTTCCTATTAAGATTTTATATTGAAGAACTTTTTAATTTTGTTTTACTTTTATTTAAAATAAGATTCATAAGAAATTCGCGAAACATCAATAATTTATGATTTCTAGATTAGACAGCAGTTATATTTTCGACCGTTGTGACATACCTTATTTAAACTTTAAGACAGACGTCAAACAGATGTTTCAGATTATACAAACACATCTTTTCGCAGAAAATTTAGTACGTAATTTAATCACTGGCTTAAAGCCTATAATTAAATGATACTTTATCGTCCATGGCATTATTAACGTTATAATAGTATTGCGTTTTAATAAAAAAAATGTGGATCACATACGTAAATACGTCGTAATGATCTGTTTTAACAAAATATTATATTTTATGGTAAAGACATTAAATTCTATTTGTGTCAATAAAACAAAACTAAATTATAACTAGGTATAATATCGTAAATTTTATAAAAATGTATTTATAACAAGAGGCATTTACGAGTGAATCGTATCGATTAGTAATTCCTGTTTTGCAATTATTTTTATTAATTTTGTATTATACAAGCTAAGAGAAAAAGAGAGCTCTCTTTTAAGGCAAATAATAAAATCTCGAGATATGATATCGTGAACTCTACTAGCTTATTTTTCAATTATGGAGAGAGAACGGACAACTGCCTTTTTCAAATCATAATATCTTGACAATTTTTTTCAAACGAATAATTTCAAATAGCAATAAATCATAGTCGATCAATATAATATTGATTAAAGATAAATCTTCCTCCTTCTATATAGCTTTGAGGCACCTGGTAGCAGTCTCCCTGGCCTCCTTGATCTTCGGATGTGTGTTCAAGTAAGCGTTCTTCAAGCAGTCGATGCTCTGCTGATGAACGACGTTAAATGCGTTTTTAGCAGTCGATTTGGCGGAACTGGCGTCGGTCTTTAAATTTTTTACGCGAACCGTACTTATATCAAGCTGCTTCTTGATACAATTATGCAATTTTAAAATATCAATAAATCTCGAATTTTTTTTGTAGCAATCCGGAAAGATGTTATCCAATTCTTCTATCAGGTTGCGTCCGTTCTATAAAAAAAAATTAACACGATATAGTTTGATGATTATTCACTTGGTAGAAAATAGTCACATATATACAAGAACTTACTGTGATAAGATTATCGATGAAACTAAGGTTGTTGCTGATACAACGTTTCGCGGATACTTGACATCGTTCGGCGTCGGTGTAAAATGCATAGCGGGCATCCTTAACAATATTATGAGCGGCATCATAACATCGTTGAGCATCCTTGCCTCTCGCCTTGGCGTCTTCTACCTCTTTCTAATGATAAAGAAATCAATAATGATTAAACTATCACGTTATAATTTTATTTCTATCATTTTATCGTGTCGTGTTTTACAATTATCAAGAGTGTCGCAAACACCGATATAAATATCATGATTGATTAATTCGAGATAAATTATTTAGAAGATTAATTCACGCATCTTTCAATAAATTTAAGCCTCTGCATCTGATTTATGAAAAACATTTAAAACGAATAATTTCTAATATCTTTAATATAATAACATAAAAAAGATTTATTCAATACATATTTTTTTGAAAGTCTGTCAAACTCATCATGCAGCTTAATAATACTCTAATGCGAATAACTACTTACACGTATCGTATCGAGTATAGGATTGACATATTTATCGAACTCTTCCATTTTTTTCAACCGTTCTTTTATGACTGTCAGGTCTACATCTTTCTCAACGTTATCGTGGATACGTTCGAGTTGCTCTATGATACTTTCCACGGACTTTTTCGTGTTTCGCACTCGAAGTAGCAAAAATTCCAAAAAAGTTGCATCGACCTAAGATTGAAAATAAAAGTAATATTAACAAATGCATTATTTTGAACAAACGCATATTTTTTGTACATACCATTCAATTAATATATATAAATTTAATTGGCAGTATAGTGTTATTTAATAAAGAATGATAAAAAAGAAATTTTATTTGTTTGTTCGAGAGAAAAGATCTTGATTATTAATTTAAAGCTAATTTTTTTGGCATTGATTTTTACAATCTTCTTTTACAATATAATGTTAATGTTATTAATCTTAAACGTTAAATTAACGTTCTGCGAAGACAAAATTGTATCTATCACAAATTATTTTTCAAAAAAGAAAAGAGACTTACGGTACAAAGTACCGCAGCCAAAAGGCATAATGCTATGGCACTTCTCATGCTTGCTCGTTAATATCACTCGAAAATCGTTCAAGTTGACACTAGAAAAGTAAACTAACTGACAACCGATATTAATTTCATTCTTTTATACGTTCGACATCTTAATGAAACATGAAGTCTTTAATGGAATACCATAATACTACTTTTATTTTGACAAGTTATTAGATTTTATCCGAAAGATAATCAGATTTTATCAGAAATATAATCCATTTATATAACGATAAGACACTACTTATCATAAACAATTATGAAAATTTACTCGAAACACGTACGCGATGAGTGACATTTGCAAGCAAGTAAAAAAACATTGACAATTAATAATTTAATTTATCATTAATTTTTAAATTAATTTTATTTTTCTTAAAAGTATACACACACACACACACACATACACAAATTTTTTTTAAATATATCGTATAAAGCTGTAAAGCACATTATTAACAATCAAAGATTTATTACGCGATATGCATAAACATGGTAGCATATATCTTTATCAAATTAATTATCTTATTTCTCAAGATGCGCATACTGATTTCTCTCGAGTCTTATTTTGAACATAAATCGTAATTTACAAATGCATTATTAGGCTCTCTTAAGCAATTAAACTCTGTTTATTCTTTTTCTCCACAGCGTCACGAACGCATCTGGAGTTAGACATCATTGCGCCCTGACTCTCGAAACGCGCTAACAAATAAGCGTTGGTTAGACATTGGGTAGCCTGTAAAATAACGTAATTGGATGCTGACAATGCGTTGTACTCGATGTATTTGGCGCCCTGCTCAAATTCCTTTACGGCAGTATTGATTTTCTCGAACTTGTTAAGGATGCAGCTCTGCATTTTAGTAGTATTGTCGCTATGGCAGTTGAGGATGATATCATTCAATTGCTTTATTAGCTCGTCTCCAAGCTGTGGAGGAGATTGACACGAATGACACGATTATAATCAAGTCCACCATTAATTTCCGATTCAAATAACATAAAATAATGACAATCGCAGCACCTACCGACATGAGGCTATCAAGAAACCCAAGGCTACTCTGAATGGACTTTTCGGCAGATTCTTGGCATTTCGTAGCAGTTTGATATGCTATGTCGCTATGTTGATTTATAGCCCAGAAATTAGTATCGTAGCAGTACTGCGCATCTACACCTCTAAGCTTTGCGTTATTTACTTCCCTCTAAAACAGAAAATTAATAACCAGTAATAATTATTTAGGCTGCGTTTGCTTTGGGCGCTCACGCATTATAAGCGTCATATTATTTTTGTCGTTCATTACATGCAGAAGGAAGATAGAATTAATGAAGCTTACAGCACGTGCAAAGCGAACACGGCTTTAGTATACATTACATCGTTTTGCAACACAATATATCTTTTTATCTTATACTATAGACATCATAGCGTGCTTTGCGCGCGGTTATTTAACTTTTTCTTTATTTCTTATTGTAACATAATGTTTAAGCGTCGTCTGTGACAATGAGACTTAAGACTTAAGCTTTAAGAAAATTGAACCAATTATAGTCGATTATTCATCTCACGTGACAATACATACAATTTACATTATATTACACTATTAACTCTTCGAAGTCGCTCGCGAAGTAACCGCAGTAAAAGAATTAATCAGTGTCACGCGGGAAAAAGCCAAGAATAAACTTCGAGATTTTGCGATAATTCGAATATCGATTTAACATATCTATTTTTTTAGATAGAATTATTAAAACTAAAAATATTTATTTGATATATTATATTTTTAATGACAATAATTAGTTTAGATAACGATTACTAATGAAATAGGCAAAATAAATTCGGAGTATCTCGACACAAATCAATACAATTACAAATTATAAATTAATGCAAATTATTACTCACGCGCATCGACTCGAGCATTAACTTTACGTAATCTCTGTAATTATCCATTTGTTCCCACCATCTTTTCGTGACTGTTAAAATAGTGTCCTCTTTAGTATCAGCGCGGACACGCTCAATTCGCTGCATGATACGCTCCACATTCCATATTGCATTTTTTACTTGTAGCTTTGCATCTTCTAAATAATCCGGTGGTGGAATAGGAGCATAGACCTAAGTTCAAAAAATGAACATTGTATTAATGAAAGCGTTACTTTGAATAATCATATATTCTTGCAATTATCGTCGATTTGGATTAACGTGGCATTTAAGTATAGTCGACAAGAGTACATCAAGATGGTATAAAAACGAAACTTTAATCGCTCAGAAGAGAGAGCGATTTAAAATATCTAAGCAATCATTCACTCCATATTAAAAATAGTATAGTATTATATGTTAAATGCTTATTTATCATGTGCAAACTTTCATCTTGACCATCTTTTTTCACAATCTTTTCTCACAAGAGTAAGATAGCAACTTACGGTACAAAGTACAGCCGAAAAGCACAAAGCTATGGCGATTTTCATGCTTGCTTATTGATATATCTCTTGGGAGTGGCTCTGTTGACACGAAAATTCGACTAACTGATAAGTATTACATTAATTGCGCCTTTTTATATATAAGGTATGATAAAAAAACACTGTGACAAGCTTTGAGAAGTGGTAGAGAGAGAGAGAGAGAGAGAGAGAGAGAGAGAGAGGGAGAGGGAGGGAAAATAAGATAAGCAAATCCTACTTAATAATCAATGTTCAAGAATGTCTGATCTCAAAGATACCAAGTCAAGAGTATATAGATATCCTTGCGATTCAAACGCTTTTATCACGATAGTGCATAGCAGTAGTATACATACATAGCTTTGTTTGAACTTTTAAAAGTTTAAAAAATTATTTTTGACAGAGAAGAAGCATAAAAAGCTTCGCTGTTTAATAAATCGATTTGAGCACATTATAAAAAATCTCTTCTTTAATCCTGAAGATAACAACTTCACGAATAAAGGAGTTGCCGAGTTCATGTGCGATGCAAATTGATATTACTTATTATTACTCCTACACGTAAATCGAACAGTAGATTAGATGATCAGAAAAGAGATAGGCACGTGCTAAAATTCAATTGTTTAAAGATAAGACGCGGCTTATCGCATCTAATTTTGCAATCTTATACGCAGAACTTATACGCGCGATGAAGGTCGATGGCAAATATATAAGAAATTATATAAACAAATAATTCTTGTTTTACTGGTATTTTAATTTTTTTTTCATATTACATACAAAGTTACTCTTTCGAAAAATACCGTGTGGCACTGAATTCGGAGCACGTACTACTAACTATGCTAGTTTTACATTCAGTACAATAAAATATCGTGTAATATCGTGATGCTTTTCTTTGAAATCACAATCCTGGGACGTCTTATGATTCCTGTCGAAAATCACTTTTAATAACGTATAACGGGATTAGTAAATGAAATAGTCTTAAAATTATGGGATTTCTGGTGCCAAATTTGTTGTCGTGGTCGTTTGTAATTGGATGCATTGAGTGACTCTCATTCTGATCATCACCCCCGCCGAATATGTGATGGAATAAGCCTGTTTAATACAATTGCCGGCCTGCATAATGACATTCTTGGACACGGGTGCAATGGTGATCTCTGCGTTAATGCTATCACCCTCCAAAGTCCTCAGAGCTCCTTCTGCTCTCGCCAATTCGCCGATGATGCAGCTCTGCATCCTATAAATGTCGCTGTCGTGACAATTCAAAAAGATATTGTCGCACTCCATCGACAGCGTGTTTCCGGTCTGTGGGAAGAAGTTAACGCGATTAGCATTTTATTGATATTAATTACGATCGTAATCGATATATACTGTCGTGAAAACATATATACCAAGATGAGACTGTCGATAAAGCCAAGGTTGTTATGGATGGAATTTCGAGCGGCGTCCTCGCATTTTGAAGCGTCATCGTATGCTACTTTCTCGTTATTTTCGATACCATCAATGGCCTCTTGATAGCATGAGTCCACATTTCTACCCTCCGCCTTAGCAGCATCTATTTCACTCTAAAGATAAATAAGTCCTTCATATAGCAAATAAAAAAAATTAACTGTCTGTACATTTTTTATCAAATATCAAAGTATCAAAGTCATCAAATAATTATCATGCATGGAATTTTACGTGTATCTTTGATCTTTTATCATTTAGATTCGACAAATTTGAGTTTGGTCCTGACTTGAAAAAGGCATTTATAATAAATTATAAGATACATAATTGTTATTATAGTAGCATTTTATAATACAATGTTATAATATAATCTTACGATATTGTTATTCTCGATTATCTGAAAATTTCTGTGTACATACAAATATCACGAAATTATAAACTACAGTGTACTGTGTATATCCGATTTACAGATTATTATAAAAATATTGTTCGGCTGTCTAAGGCATTAATGGGACAATTTTGTAACCCTATAATTAAATTAAAAATATTATAATTTGAGAGTAAGCGGCATACGACATGACGTATAATAAGTTATAGTCTTGAAGACTTAATCGATATATACATGTCTCTGACAATTTATTAGCTTTGTCAATAATTATAAAATAAATAAGGAAAATTAAGATTATGTTAATCGTAGATCGATTTTAATACTTACGCGTATCCCAGAAAGTAATAAAGTTTTATATGTTCTATGACTATCTTGTTCTTCATCCCATTTTAACGAGACTTGCCGAAGGGTATCATCCTCGGTCTGGACACGGAGTAGTTGAAGTTGACGTATAACAGTCTCCACATTCCATTTCATGTCCCTCACTCGAAGCCTCAGAATTTCCAAATCGGTCGACGTTGGAATAGCCCCGACCTAAGGTCGTGGAATTATAAGAGTCAAAAATAACAAGTGCATCATTTTAATTGATTGCAATGACATATTTGTACGATTTTTGTCAATTTAAATTAATATTTAATCAATATTTGAGATAATCGATAAAAATATTGTATGGTTAATAAGAGAAACTTAATGAGAAACTTAATGAGACAAACAATACATTTATTGTATAAAATATTTTTTTTCTTAGCAAACGTTCCCCTCGACAATTATCTTGGCCGCATCTCTTTTTTAATAAATCAATTCAATTTCATTAAATCTTACTATAATAACTATAAGCTTTGAATTAAAATTCGCTATACAAATATAATAAGAAAAAAAAACTGTTGCATCTATTATAAATTGTTTCTCAACAAGGAACTTACGGTACAAAGTGCAGCCAAAAAGGACAATGCGACGGTGATCCTCATGATTGTTTATTGATATCACCAGGTGTCGTTCGAATTTACACTAAAAATCGGCTGACTGACAAGCGATATTAATTGCGCCGTTTTATATATGCAACGCTTTGGTTGAATACCAATGATTATTTCGATAACGATTGTAGAGATAACGATTACAGAATCTATCGAAATATTTATGTAACAGCAGCGTTCTTTTCTCTTCTCGGCCCTTATCCTTCTCCCGTGATTTTATATCGAAGAGAAACACTTTATTTTGTTTAACTTGCATTTGTTCTAAGCGACCCATAAAAATTTCACAAGGCACGTTGACACATCATTTTTAGATCAAACAAGTAGTTATTTTTGCTGTTATAATAATGGCCCCCTTAAGATTCTAAGCATATGTCAAAAAGTGTGAACAAGTGTTTCCGTGACAAACGTTTCTTTTTCGCAAAAAATTTATTATGTAATAAATGAATCCATTTTTGTGCGACAAGATACTTTCTTTGTTAGAAGAGAATGCTTTCGTTAGCGGAAGTCATTATAAGATCGTTATATCTTATACCATACCATTTGCAAACAATTGACAATTTATCAGAGGTAAAAATGAGAATTTTGAAAAAATAAGCTTTCTCTACTTTTGATAGATTATTTTTGTACAAAATCATAAAAGTAGATTACTTTGTTAAATTATGAATTAAAGTGGTGGAATATCATAAAAAACTATTTCACGTTGCGTTAGATTAGGTTGCATTAGATGTAATTGACAGACTGCATACATTGCTAAATGTAATTCACAACAGACTTTATTGGATTATATCTTAACATATACATGAAGCATGTAAAAAATCGTGATCGCCGCCATCGCAAAGGTGCATGCCATGAATGACTTAAATAAAATCAGAATGAAGAATAATGCGCGATGCAAAAAGTATAGACATAAATAAATTACAAAGTCACAGTATATAAACATCAGAAAAGAAATGTACACCGCGCATTCGCACTAATAAACTTAATCGCCTATTTACTAGGATCACAGTTACACACACACATTCATAATATGTGTAGTTTAGTACACACTGTTTTCGGCTTTTTACTCGTCGAGGATATATCGAATCGCGTTATCCTCGCATTTGTACATCGTCCTAAAATAAATGAATCTAAATAAATATGTCGTCTAAAAAAAAAGCCTATGACTAGGTGATATCTCTATCTTCGATGGCGCTGCTAGCGATAATACTACTGTCGCATTTCCGTTAGAAACGAAATGTGTTCGCGATTAAACTTTAATTAAAAGTAACTTTACAAGCGCATGATAATGCATATATATATATATATATTTATATATTATATCATACGGCTTAAAAACAATTTTAATACACTGTACATCACTTATACTCGTCTCAGGCTATTTAGGTAATTTGAACTTTTCAGCTCATCCTCGCTCAACTCGCTCGTCTTCATTCCGTTTTCGAGGGTGAAATTACAGTTACGACTGCTGGGTGGGATGATCACGGTTACAATTGCGAGTGTGAAGAGTCGTCGAGAAGAGGGGCTAAGTTTGAACGCTGCGTACACATGCTCGTGGTACCAAACCTCTTCGATCACCTTTCGCGCACAATAACCACTTATTATCCACCTCTAATATTACTTTCAATTTCTCCCCCTCTGCAAATGAGAGATGACCGGTGTCCGACGGTACTCTGTGAGTGAGAGTACGGACTTCTCTGCAATCGAGACGCGCGAACCGTTATCGTACGAATCTAAAGAAAGAGAAAAAGAAAAAAAGGGCTAAAATACAAAGCGGAACAAAGGCGAAGGAAAGCGCAGTATATAAATAAAACATGTACATGTAAACAATGGTTAGATTATTTAATTTGTAATGCAGCTCGTATAAATAATATTTGCAACCAATATAAAACTCGACAAAAAAGATAACAGATTCTAAAAGATATACGTATTCATTAAACACCGATACTTACTTGTGTGGATGTTTTGAAACTGGTGTCCTCGAAACGGTAGTAACAGTTGGTCGCGGTAGAGAGGTCGAAACGGCTCGTCTATGAGGCGAGATTAGATTCCTGTCATTCGACGTTACTCCGTGCGATTTGTATGGTAAGGAACTCGGGCGTGCAGTATGAGTTCGTGTCACACCTAGAGTATCCTGATCGACGCGGCTGGTACGACGCGTCACGTCTCTCGCTTTCGTATCCATAGGTTTCTTTAGAGTTGTCTTTGTTGTGGGAAGGTTAGCGGGTTTCTTTAACAAAGAGATTCCCGACATGGGTGATTTTGATGATTTCCCGACGATATTCGCCGTAACGTTAGACTGCTTCACTGGTGACGTGAGCAATCTAGGTATCTTTGACTTCCCCACGCCGAATGTCCGAACCGGCGAAGAAGGAGTCATCGCCGCGGGTTGACCTTTTTTCCCTTCCTTACCGATCATCAATTCCCATTTTTCCTGCAGTTTTTTGAATTTTGTTTCGGCAGAGAGACCATCGTCGTCATTCGGTTTAGTATCAGGACTGTAAAGTTTAGATTGTGGCTGCTTGCTTGCTTTTTTATTTAAAGGAGAATGTTCCAGACTATCTGTGTAATCTTCGGAATCTTCGGAAGTCAACTTGTCCAACGCGTAAAACGCCTTCGGATTTATGGCACTGAAACGTTTCTTTGCGTTCTGAAGGTCGCCTTTATGCACGATGCTGCATTTATCGTCCATGTAAGCGATACAAGATTTTGGCCGCGTCTTTTTAGGACTGGGAACCATTCCGCAGGATTCCGTTTCCTCGAGACCCTCAAGGTCTTTCATAGTCAAATCGGCATTTCTATAGCTCATGGCCTGCAAAATTACAAAATTACGTATCAAATAAACGCACGCAGTGGCATATACATATTAATATAAGAGAAATCAAACGACAGGTTTACTCACATTGACGGTATGATTATTCATATTCCCAAAACTATTTTGCAATTGACGATATTGATAGAGAAGATCCAAGTGAAATGGACAGAATGCAAGCGGATTCAGGATGTATAACAATGAATCGACGATTTCTCGGACATTGGAATTGGCCAAAGCCGCGACGAATAAGCTATTGTTACTGTAATGTTTCCGTAAGATTGATTCACGTGTACATAAATATGCAAACCATGCATCTAGAGCTCTCAGACTAGAAAAGAATGGAATAAGTTCATTAATTAAAATTTATTAAATAAATAAAAATTATGTAACAAGTATGAATGGAATACAGAGTGATGGAAAAACTTTGAACTTTGTAAGATAAATTTCAACTTACTTTAGCAAGCCGAATACAAATGCATGGAACTTTAACATTCCTTCTGTAATAACATCTTCGCCATTAATTCTCTGCACTAATTCATTCAACGTCTTTGTGAGGGGTCCTTGTTGAGAACTAGCTTCGACGACCTGCCAAACGCTATTAGTAATTGGTCCAAAGGTGGAATTCAAATGGGGTTTCAAGCCATCCGACATAATAGCATATAAGGCTGGGCATAAATTGCTCAGACAAATTTGCGCACACTCGCTTCTCTCATTATAACTGGGACGACTGTGATTGGAATCAGCGTTCCAATATTTTAATAAAAGATCCACCGCTCTGTGTACAGACGACACCATTTCTGGAAAGAGTATCGCATTAAATTAACTTGAAGGAATTTTTACTTGATAGTTGAATAACGAGAATAAAATGCGCTCGTACTTTTCTTCTCCTCCAATTCTGTTAATTTATCCTCGGCCGCCTGGTCGTAACTTTGTTCGTTTACAACGACATTCAGATTATTTAGCTGAAATAAATAAATACTCTTACATATACATATATTGCAGAACAGGAAAAAAGAACAGCAAAAAATTTACTCGTGCTAAAATTAGTATGATTTACCTTAGCATCCAGATGCTTTTTTCTTTGGTGCACAGCAAAACTGACGGTTTTTCTCTGCGATTCTCCCATATCAATATTTTTAACGAGTGGATCCTTGTTCATTCTCAAAGCTAAAAATTTTCTCACATATGATCTCACTTTAACTTCATTGTCAACATCTCCGTCGCTGCTTTGCGACGAGATTGCACTACGTTTCAAATACTCTTCCAATTGCTTGATGTCATCGTCGCTATGTTGAGAAGTTTCCACATTCGCGTTATTCGTAATGTCATTTAATTTCTCTACAATAATATCACATTGTCAAGCGGGTTGACACAAAGTCACAGGTCGACTGAAAATAAAGGCAGTCCGAATAGATTTGTCAAAATGATTGATCCTTACCTTTAAGATACCTCTCCGCTTCTGTCTCGTCGACATCCTTTTCCGAATCGATCGTTCTTTCGCGACATAATAACTGCAAATCGTTGTTCATATAATATGGCTCTTGCAAGGACATTCTCTTGTTTACTTCTACAGACTCTTCCGATTGCTCGCCCACATCACCCATTTCGAACATGCTGTATCGTTTACTCGCGAGAACCTTGTTCTTTCGTAAAATGCTCCTAGGCAATGGCGGTCGCGGCGGTACTCTGCCATTATTAAAATCAGATTCACCCTCGCCTTGTGGTAGCGATACGGATCGCTTTGGAAGAGACGGGCAGGTCTGCCTCGTTTGATTGAGCCTATGCATTTTCTTGTCGTTATTCAAACTCGCCTCCGAACTAATACTGTCATAACGGTATAAATACAACGGGTTGATCGCATTGTTCGACAGTGGCTGCTGATTTGTCGAGGAATCGGTTAAAATTGTCGACGAGCCTCTATATCCGGACGACGGCTGCGTCGCAGTGCTGCTCGTTGACGAAGTAGTATTCGGTATAATCTCGCTGATCGGTCGTGTCTTGTGACGCATTGGAGGAGACAAACAGAATAGGGGTCGTTTAACCTCCTCATTGATATTAATGTATCTCGACACTTCCGGTACATCATGTAAAATCTTTTTGTATTCATACGGTAGAAGGAACGTCAGCGACTCCCAGTCCTTTACGTGCGCAAATCCACGTTGTCGCAGAGCGTCGATATCGTTACACGAAAATGGTCTACCTGAACGAACAGTACGTTTCCATTCCATCTTATTTCTGTCAAATGTGTGTGGTTTCAACGCGATGTTGT